TCGGTATCACGACAACGGTCTTTACAGGTCTCTGTTTTACTGCCACTTATCATACCATTTCTTGTTCAATGTGGCGGAAGCCAAGCTGGTATCAGTTTCCGAGAGTAAGTGGAAAAACGTTTTGCAAATTTAAGGTGAAAAACAACGCGAAAGCATGGACATTATACGGGAATCTGGGGCATGAACCTCTAAAAAATATGAAATTAGGGTCCTTGGTGAATAACTGCCCGTAATTCGTATAGTTTTACTTAGTATATACTAAGACAGTGGATAGTGTTTTTCGCACGCTCTGATTGGCTGCTCAATCTCGGAATATCCTGCACTATTAACTGATTCACCTCCAGTTCCTCCGAGCGAGCGACGCCAAACTTGCTTAATTTAAGAGCAAAATGGCTTTTCGGTTTGTTGCCGCAACAAACAAAGAAATCTCACAAGCAATCAAACAAGCTGTTCCCAAAATATAGGAAGAAGGTGAGGAAACTCGGTTTGGAAGTTTTAACAGGTAAAGCTTTATCTGTTTGACAAATGCAAATTAAGCTTAAGTCTTGCGTTAGTTTGGTTACATTCCTTTTAGCCAAACTTTTTTCGGATTTTGACAATCCAGATTGTTTGGATTTTCGTGTTAGCCGGAACAAAAATCTGAAATAAGATTGATCTATACAGAAGCTGCCGGCCGCTCCGATCTTCTTCTCAATTTTAACGCATCGTTTTTTACGTCTTTCTGCTAAATTAAGCATCTTCTCGTGGAGAAAGGGAAAAAACTTAGCTCTTTAACTAGTGGTGTTACATACTGGGACTCGTCAACTTAAAATTATCTGGAATTTGATTCAACAAAATTCAGAAGACAATTACGAATTCTCAAGCGCTGAGAAGCGCACTCTAAAGACACACAGACATTGGCCAGTATAAATAACTTGCCTGAACTAACCTTGACCTGCCGTGTTTATTGATGAACGAGCACGTTTTTGCGATCGAAAAGCAGTTTCATTAAATGGAACAAAGATCTGAAACCTGGTTGAGATACAAATCTGAACGATCCATGTGCAGAGGTAGATCGTTCTGATTGCAATTTTAGATCAGTTTATTCCTTAATGGAACCAAAAATCGAATTTTCGATGGCAAAATCCGGATTTAGATTGGCTAAAAGGAATGCAACCTTTATTTAGCTTACATGTTCATAAATAAGCTTTAAACTAAATTTAATACTTTTTTACAAAATAGTTTTAATACAAAGAGAATTCACAACTCCTTTTGAAGAAATTTCCCCGAAAGAGCTAAACAAATGCCTTCAAAGGTTTTATTTGTCGGCAAGAAAATGCGACGGCCGTTCGGTCATTGCGCGCCGAGATTATAATGAGATCGTTAGCAACAGTAAATGAGTGAAAAATCATTTTTTTGCTCAATTATCCCACTGTGTTAGTGTATACTACTGTTTTCGCGGCTCGTTAAATTTCCGCCGACACTGAGGTGAATAATTGTTATATAGTCAATTTATCAAGGAAGAGCAGTTATTCTTTATGGTTTATAGTTTATGAAAATCAGACAAGTGTTGCTCCTCTCTTCATAGCCCTTCCTTAAGCAATTAGGATTGTCTCTGCATTGACTCCTTATAAGTTGCCACATGATGAGCATTAGTAAGGGCTCCTTCTAATTAAAGTTTTAGTACACAAAATAAAATGAATTTGATGTTTAAACAAGACCATTTTTACGATGATTTCGACTATAAAGACTAGAATCAAATTTGTTTTTGTCTTTTATTGTTTTAGAAACGGTGCATTTAATTTGCACAGGAAAACAATAGGCTGTACGTATACGATTCTTGAAGTTGTAGAAAACTCCATTCAATATATTTGACTATTCTTAAAACACACCAGAAGAGCGTTTAGGGTGTTGAAGTATGTTGCGCTTAGATTTTTTAAGTTTAATACTTTCGAGTAATTCTTAGCTGACGTCCAAACACGAACTCAGCAGCTTTCGATGCAGAAATGATAATCGTAAAGAATGGGCTAACCTGAACTGGGTTACCCACTTGGGTACCAGTAGAAGAAGGGCAAACGTTAATTTAACTTAAACTAGTTTATAGTTAGGATTCAGCTACAGCTGTAATTGTCCCCCAGTCTCAATAACATCCTTACCGTGTAAGACCTTGGAATATATCATATTCCGACATACAATGTCACACACTGAAAATCATAACATTCTTGTCGATTACCAACACGACTTCAGACAACGCTGATCATGCAAGAGCCAATTAATCAACACCATATCGAGCACCTGACGCAATCAATTGACCATAGATTAAACTGACCTATATATAATACTAGACTTTTTCATAGCTTTCGGCACCGCCGCACACAAGCGATTACTTCTAAAACTCGGTCATTATGGCATCCGGGGCAGACACTGGCTTGCGTTGAGACCTGGCTGGTGAACCGGGCTCAACAGCTGCGAACAATTTCAGTTGTCATGATATATCATCGCCCAAGTCGTTAATGTACAGTAGAAAGCAAGGCGGGCCCAGGACTGTCCCTCAAGGGAAAGTTCTGGGCCCGCTTTGCTTTCTACTGTACGTTAACGACATGAGCGATGATATATACCTGATGGAAATAACGTTTTCGCTAAAAAGTATAAGCCATGAACGATAAGGTTTCAAGGATCTATGGGTATGCGTTCATTAGCAAAGCAACTTCAAAGGTCTTTCGACAAAAGTTTACATTGTCACGAGATCCTCGTGCGGATGCAAACCCCTAGACTACTTTGTTAAGGCATGCTGTTGTCTTTTTTTGTCTTCCAAGAACGCTTTTAGGTCCTATCTTAAGATTTTCAAGTGTGCGTTAGCCATATAGCTACGCTCTTTAACTGTAGAAATCTCTTATGTGTCCAGCACTGGTGAAGTTGTGAGCCGTAAATACTGGAAACCGTTTTACGTTTTTTTAATGCATCGTAGCGAAAAGCTTCGTAAATGTAAACATTTTTGAGAAAAACTTTAAATTTGCAATGCTAGTTAAGTTGTACCCATAGATCCATTAGGTCACATCGTTCATAGTTTATACTTTTCAAGCGACAACGTTTTTTCAATCAGGTGTATCATGACAACTGAAATTGTTCGCAGATGACAGCCTCTTATACGGCGTCATAGATAATGCTAAGGACCCTCTGACACTCTTACGTGACTAGTGGACAGACACAATACCACCTTCCAAGTTGAATAACTTCAAAACACCTTAAGCTATCAAAACCAAATTTGATCTACCCCGCCCGGGTATAAGCGCCGCACCTGTAACAGGGATATTATTTTCCCTGTTACAGGTGCGGCGCTTATACCCGGGAGGGGCTTATTTGAGAGCAGCGCTTATTTCAACTACGGCAAAATAACGCGAGGAATAAAGAGAGAATTAAGTGTCGCGTATACTAGTTATGCCAATTTAAATTATATCAAATATGTACAGCTCGAACTGTTATATGAACCCGGTTTCAAGATTAAGAGCATACATTAAAACTTTAGAACTCACGAGTTGGTCGAGGTCTTATATAGCGATATGGCTCTGACATCTCTTTATATCAAGCGGCCGCCGTAAGAAAGATGGATTGATAATAGACCAATAGTTGGATTTTACTAATTAGCAAAATAACGTTTTCTCTTAAACTAATCAACTACAACTCGACCTTTGCTAAAAAATGCCCTTAAAGGGACTATGTCACCCTATTTGCTATTTTTTAAAAGCTAACTCAAACTATTTTTGCATCAAGTCAATTCCAAAAAAATAATTATCAATTTTTTTTTAATTTAAACTGGATTTAGACATTGATACTGCTTCCTGTTGCCTCCTGCAACGCATAACAAGGTTGAGCATTGATTGAAACGTGAAAACAATTTGGCCAGCTTCTTCAAGTTTTAATGCTCTGCCGGCAAAAATCACCAAAAAAAAAACATTATCGTTAGTGTTCCCTGACGAAATTTGCATGTCTATATCTTCTTAGAAACCGTCTACACGAGCATTTTGTGTATGGGTAAAAGGCACTAACTAATGACTTCAGTACAGAATTGAACTTGAACAGCGATATCCTCGAAACCTAGCTCCAATGCCAAGATTTCAACAGTCAGACCAACGTCAACCCTGGTCCTGTTACACCACAGCCATATTACATACTAGTTGTACACAAACTGATAAGACCACTTTATGACGACTGGGCGTAAAATGTCAAGGACAAAGACAGACCGGAAGACCAACAAGTGGCAGCGTACACTATCATATTCTGCGTCTGCCATGAAACTGAATTATAATGCGCATTTCCCGACACCGTTCAAACGACTGATTTACGAACTCAAGCAAAACTGAAAACAACAATTTGACTAACGGAAAAAAGTACCTTTAGTACTACGACAGAACATGGATCGAAGTGCACCACCTGCGTTAAGAATATTCATAGTCAAAACACCCTTATTATTCATTCAAATTATTTCGTCGCGACGTTTCTGGTTTCTCATTTTCAGATTTCTCCTTTCCCCGGCTAATTCTCCATTACAAGCTGGTGCTTACCATAACTGGAATATTTAGGCAGAAACTAGTCGATTCGATCGGTTAATGCCTATTACCTAAAGATCAACCTCGTTTCCAAGCAGCTGGGCGGCAGAACAGCTCTTTGTTCCCCGTGACTGAAAAAATAAAGGCTTTCACGGCTATCGGAATCAAGACGAAAGTGCTGAATTTCTGACTGAATGAAGAATACGCAAACCATATTTTGCTAAGAATGTGATATCAACTTTTTGATGAGTATCTGCGAGGAAAAATATTCTACTCTTTATATCCTAAAACCGTGCTAAGAAAGGGCCAATGTTTTGAAAAAAAATAAGGGGAGATAAGGTTGTTAAGAACTTGGAAATATTTTGAGTGAATTATAAAGCAATTATTAAATTCGGCTATCGTATGATGAGAAAAATTATGCCTCATTCAATAATTGTCAGTTACTTAACTGACGAACAATTTTTTGTTTTGTTAGGGGCGTTATGTCCAAGTGGCTGGTTTAATAAGGGCAGCTCCTGCTACAAGATTTCCGACCACAGATTGAATTGGGAAGCAGCAAAGAATGCCTGTGAACTACTGGGATCTACACTTGCTATAATTAGCTCTCATTCTGAACAACAAGCACTTAGCCCTTTTATAAACACTACTACCTGGATTGGTTTGCACAGGCAACAAAGTAATAAAACACTCTTTTTGTGGCTCGATGGATCACCACCTATCTACACTAACTGGGGTAGAGGTGAACCCAATGATATCGTTGAGGAATGTGTAGAGATGAGGTCATTCGACACTGCATGGAACGACCTGGCATGTTCTCGTAGACATCGTTACATTTGCGAAAGAGGTACAACCTAATAAGTTAACGAACAAACATAGCTTAATGTATACGTTGTATTTTAATAAGAGGATATCGTTGAGAACAGAACTGCCTGTATACTAAAAATATTGCCTTGTTTGTAAAAGCCATTCCGCTTGTCATAAATGTTCTTGTTTTGTTGACTTAAAATGAAGGCAGTACTTTCGTTTGGCGCCACAAAAATCTTAATTATTTTTCTTTCAGATGCCAACGAGTGTGCAACAAAGCCGTGCAAACAAGGAGCAACCTGTATGAACAGTATCGAGGGATATAACTGCATATGTCCAAAAGGATTTCAAGGAAAAGTCTGTGAAAAGGGTATGATTTTAATGTGGACGTTTAGCTGTTTTTGTTATTATTATTATTATTATTATTATTATTATTATTATTAGTACTCTGCGTAGCCGGTGGGATTGTTATGCGCCTGGTACTTTCTTGGCGGTGAAGCTTTGAAGGGTTTTCGCCCTTGTCGCGGCTCCGCGGCCAAAAAAACAACAGCCTTCGCCATGCAGTAATCCCGGCAGCTGCGCTGACATGCTGACTATTTTGTATCAAAGCAATTAAAAGTGATTAAAGTGCTGATTAGGATCATACCTTGCTTATTGCTTAAAACTGTTCGTAAAGGCAGGCAGTCTGCATAGATTTGTTTACGTGGCTGTGGGTATTCGTAAGGTCATTGTTTTGAAACCCCGTCTAAGGCATTGAATGTGATATTCTGTATCTTTCAGTTCCTCCAAATATAACAGTGAATCCTCCATGGGTAGTCGATCTCGAAGCTGGACAAAATGTCACTTTGACATGCAATGCTTCTGGTGATCCCTTGCCAAATATCACATGGACAAAAATCGGTGTCGCCCACGATCAATTTAACTTCACTGGTCACAAGCTGCATTTTTTTAATGTAAAGAGGACGGATGTTGGGTTATACAGATGCACTGCAAATAATGGATTTGGAAGAGAGGCTACTCGTGTCAGCGTTGTCAACATAAACTGTAAGGGTAGTTTCCAATTGCGATCGCCAAAATCGATAGTAGTAAAACTGAGCTAGCTCTATCTATCTGATCTTTCTTATGAATACCTACCCCACTTGCGAGAATAAAGCAATGTCTTGCTTCTTCCCTTCACAAAAATTCAACTCACCATCGTGATTTCCTTCCCTAGCCTAGAGTCATTCTCTTGCGAAGCTGGGCGGGCGCGTTGCGCTGTGATTTGCGTTAACTCCGACTCTCCTCAAATGCTTGATGGAACAGAAAAATCCAAAATCCCTTAGAAGTTTGCAAAACGCGCAGCGCTATACAACGGATTTGTCTATAACGATCTAGCGTTGTAAACAGCTGTTTTAGCGTTCCTAGCCGACCACTTCTATCATAGCGTAACCAGGCTTTTAAGGGTTCCTTATGATTTACTAGTTGTGGGACATGGTTCGATTTCAGCTTATCTGACCTCTTTCGCATTTAGGACCCTTTATAGGATTACAATCCTAGGGAACCAGATTGCTATGCAAGTTTACGTAGATTTTCAATTCCGGCATTCGTGTTTAATTTCGTTGGTTTTTCGACCTCCGAGTGAGCAAGAATCTAGCTGTCATATTATAAGGAACACTTCTCAAATGTTGTCGCTTTTAAGATATTGTTAAGTTACAGTTTGACGATAAAATGGCTAGTATTGGTGCCTTACCGTATATAACCCTCAGATAGTCAACGGTCTCTCCAGTGATTTCTTAAGAGAAAAGAAAGAACATGACCTTGTTCTCAGACCTTGCCTTTGAATCAAACAAAAGCCAGCTACTTACATTAGAAGGTTTTACATGTTTTGTGTTTTTATATGAATTTTCCTACACTCATTTCCTCTTTTTTCTTCTTTTTCTTCTTTTTCTTCTTCTTCTTCTTCTTCTTCTTCTTCTTCTTCTTCTTCTTCTTCTCCTTCCTCCTTTCTTTTGGTGAAAACAGGTAGTCACTGTATATTGCAAAAGGTCAGCATAACAATAACAAGTGAAGTATGGAATGATACATTGCTGGACAGGGAGTCGTTTGACTATAAAACGCTGGAAGCTAGTGTATTGACGGCGGTAAGTTGCTTGAATATGAAAGCTATCATAATTACAGAAGTTAGAAGTTTCTGTAGGACATATTCTGGAACCAATTGGCGAATGTACAGAGAAAGATAAAAATAAGAAACAGGGAGACTTCCTAACCCGATAACACCAGCCATTTTTGGGTAACGGTTGTTAAAATAAAAAAAAAAAAACTTGCGGCACATCTTTGAACTCGCTGAAATTTTGCTTCGAGGTATTGCGATAGTGGATACAATACAAAGTCGTTAAAATTAAGCTTCGAAAGTTTCAATGCCTCAATTAATTGCTTCCTTAAACGCTTCGGGCACCATGTTTCTGATCTTCTTGATTGTTGATAGAGCTGCAAAGCACGATGATACGGTCTTAGTCTCGCGATCAGTCCACTAATGTGTGAGGTGACTCTATCTAACACTTTTCCATCTGCACTTATCTGGGACAATTGATCTTCTTATTTTGCACTCTTGACATTTTTTCTGTGCATATCATAATTTTTTGGTCTATTTTGCATTAAACAGTAAGTTGGAATTGCTTGACCAGAGATCGAGGGTTTGCATGGCGCTAGCGGTAGCGTCCATATCTGAAGGGGAACAGTGCTTCATGAAAGTCGTGTCGTCTGCATATTGATATGAAATGCCGTGCAGTCATGGTTATCGTTAAGATCATTTGCGTATAAAGTAGATAAGGCTAGCCCAGTATCGAACCCTGTGCTACCCTGAATTGCATGTCATTCAGCTCGGATGTTTGATCATTCACTTGTGCAAACTATCGTTTTTCACGCATGTAACCCATTTGTGCATTTTTTCAAGAATCCTGGTGTGATCGATCGACCGTATCGAACGCCTTTGATAAATCTGGAAATACAGCCATAGTGATTTCATTTCATTTCATAGCGTGGATGATGTCATCTCTGAAGCACAATAATAACGTTGTTCTCGAATGACCTTTTCTGTAGCCAGAGATCTTCTCATTAAGTATGCTGTGTCTGTCGATGTGTAGGCGTTCACACACTTTGGAGAGCACGGGTAGGATAGCAATTGGTCTATGATCATTATATCCCCTTGGACTTTTAACTTTAGATACCTGGCATATCTGGAAGTTTTCAGTGCCTTTGGAAAGGTGTTTTCCTCAATGCACCTATTTATTCTGTCGGTCAATGGTGAGGTGATGTACGTGTGTTCTGAAACAAGCTTGATAGGATTAGCAGGGATTAGATCAGGCCGGGTTGCAATCTTTTTTTTTTATCTTTTTTTATAATTTGCTGCTCGATCTATTTAAAGGCGACTTTACGAAGTACGAAGGAGTCACTTTCTTTAGATCCCAATATTCTTTGAGTTGTGCTGGTAAGATGTCTGGTCAACTCATCAGCGTTTGGGCACGAATGTGTTTTGAATTGGAGTTGAGGATTCGGTGAATCTTGCGCTGTAGTATTTTGGTGATTTCGATGACAGTGCCTTCTGGTAATTGATCTCTTCGCCTGCTCGACTTAAATTCCTTACGTCTCTGAACTTTTTTCGTATATCCTCCGATTTGATGTGGTGAGCATGACAACGAAGCTGTTTCCTCTGTGCCGGAAACTGGTGGATGTCATCTGATTTCAAGAATGGTACGGGAGGGCGTGTAATTCTGACCTTCTTTAACGGGACGATTTGTCTAGACTAGTCGGGAACAATGAGTTAAAGCGAGAGGCATTTAGTTTATAAGATTCACCCAATGAGAAGTATTCGAATAAAATCAAGAATACAAAGCCACTGAGAAGAACAAAATCGATTACAAAATAAAATAGGAATCATGAATCATTGAGGTCGAAAAGCTAGCCCAGTTTGAGGATTTGGGGAGACCTATTCTTACTTTTAATGAGTAATTTCAGATTTTGTCTACTATCGACTAAGTCATAGTACTGTTGGACTACATTTGATTTGTTATTTGATTTAATAACACCTGCTTTTTATTCAGTTCCATTACATTCATATTTTTTTCCTCTTTTAGATGTTTAAGGTTTACAGCACCTGTTCGCAAAAACGGCTCTACCGAATAGCAGTTGAAAAATTCAGGTATCTATTAATTAAAGGGAAAAAATACTCAATCCTTTTCTTAAACGGGCTAATTGTGACGAGGGTATTGCCGTTTTAGGTCAATTTGGTGCTACGATTATCACTTCAGCAATACAAAAAATGCTCTTGTAGAGATATGAAGGAGATATCAAGCAGATCTTGTCAGAGAGCACTAACCATATATAAGCCGTTTTGGTGATTTTTGCAGCCATAGCATAAAAATTGCGGTAGAAACAAACGACAGGAGAGAGATTCAGTGCCTAAGTAATTATAGTCTTAAATAACAAAACCGAACCATTTTGTTTAGAATTCAGTTGGTAAGATAGAATTCAGCTGATCAAAATAATGAGACTCTGGCAGCTCGGTAAATAAAGTGTTCCGCACAGGCCGAAAAATCATAACCTTTTGTTATTACCACTGATGCAACATTAGAACAACAGACTTTCNTCAGGTATCTATTAATTAAAGGGAAAAAATACTCAATCCTTTTCTTAAACGGGCTAATTGTGACGAGGGTATTGCCGTTTTAGGTCAATTTGGTGCTACGATTATCACTTCAGCAATACAAAAAATGCTCTGGTAGAGATATGAAGGAGATATCAAGCAGATCTCGTCAGAGAGCACTAACCATATATAAGCCGTTTTGGTGATTTTTGCAGCCATAGCATAAAAATTGCGGTAGAAACAAACGACAGGTGAGAGATTCAGTGCCTAAGTAATTATAGTCTTAAATAACAAAACCGAACCATTTTGTTTAGAATTCAGTTGGTAAGATAGAATTCAGCTGATCAAAATAATGAGACTCTGGCAGCTCGGTAAATAAAGTGTTCCGCACAGGCCGAAAAATCATAACCTTTTGTTATTACCACTGATGCAACATTAGAACAACAGACTTTCGCTCACTTATTGTCTTTAATTAGTAACACCATTTTCATTTTGTTCCTAGCCCTGGTAGTGTTGTGGCAACGCTGGTCATGTTTTTCGGTAGTTCAGTCTCTGAGCCTCTGAAACCTTTGCAGGATGAAATTGCTGACTCCAAACTTGGCCAATTCGCCGTTGGTCGTCATGTGTATATTTACCAGCCGATCCTTCCTCCAACGACTCCCCCATCAACAGGTGCAGACATTTTATTTTTAAAAAAGATTTGCTTACACGTATGTACGTAGAAATAAGCCTACAAATGGTCGTTTCCGTTGGAACGAGGTGAGATAAAAGAAAAGAGTAAAAAAATCCCACATTTGCCCTGGCCACACCTAGCCTTTTGAAATCAGTAGCTTTGTTGATGTGCTCTATCACCGTAATTTTTGCGGAAGAAAGAATCGAACAAGCTCTCATACACACATAGGTATATATTTTTTCAATGTTGTCTGGCGTACCACATCAGAGAACTGCCGGCATAAAAATATGAGAAACTCGTGAATAGACCTTTCCGCATTACGCGGGAGTGAGTAAACATAAGGAAATGAGGACGGGGCTCGGGTGGAAAATTTCATATAAATCACTGTATTTTGTCCACCCGAGCCTCGAGTTAGTTCCTTTGTTTACAGGAATACGGGAAAGGCTATTGACACCAAGTATTTTTTCAATTGTTTTATGCAGTACCGCAACTGGATTCATCGGACACACCAGCGAACGCAAACGAAGGTAAGTGATATTAGTCCTTCACTTTTTCTTAGACTGTTGTCTTCTCTTATCCTGAAAAACTGGGGTTGTGTTTCATATGCCAAAATCTGAAATAATCGTAAGTAACAAAGGGTAGACAACAATAGACGTCCGTGTATGACCATGGATAAAAAACGGAACATGAATTGTGGATTGAAATCAATGGATTTCGGTATAGGGCGTTTTTACTCACCTGGCTAACATCTTTGCATATTTATTGGAATGAAAGAAACCGTTTCAATAATGAAAGAAGTCAACTCCCAGAGGACTGGTTTGGGACACCAACATAACATTATCATTCATATTAATTTGCATAGTCACATTAATCCTTTAACTGACTTTTGCGACCAGTTTTGTCTCACCGACACAATAGAAGAACCGACAAGAGTGGCAAACATGAATAAATCGCTAATTGATGTTATCCTTTTGTCAACCGACCAGAACGTTCGGCTACTAGTGATCATGACCTTAATATTTACAATGTGATGAAACAAAGATTACCGAAGTCTAAAGTCAAAGTAATTAAGTCTAGAAGTAAGAAACACTTTAATCAGAATGAATTCCTGGCTGATGTAGAGACAACACCTTGGGACACGGCTTTTATCTTTGACGGCATTGATGATGTCTGGGCCTACAGGTATAAACTATTTAATGAAACTGTAGAGAAACACGCACCTTTTATGAAAAAGAGAATCCGGTCAAATCAGCTCCCCTGGATCAATGTAGGGATAAAGAAAGCAATGCGATTGAGAAACAAGTTGTACAAAATAATTTCATTGCCACCCTACTAAAGACTTATGGGAACACTATAGTATACAAAGGAACTTAGTTACTAAACTGAAGCGCGTCGTAATCAAACCTTTTTGCTCTGACTCTGCATCTACTGCAACTACACCTAACGGTTTCTGGAAAAGACTGTAGCCCCTGCTACCCTCTGCAGGGAGAGACGTCTTGCAGGAGGATATTTACTTAATGGATGATCGGAAAGTCGTTAAAGAAGTGTCAGATTTATTGAACACTTTCTCCTCTACTCCAATCCTGGATCAGTCGGCCCTGAAGCTTAAGCAGGGAGATGTTTTGACCCACCCTTGCGTCACCATTACATCACGTGACTTCAAGCTGGACTTTTCCTTCCAACCAGTACGTGTCTCATATATCGAAACTCTTCTGGGGAAATCAAGTGCAACAAATCTTGTGGAACTGACAAAATAATGCCCAAGATTCTTAAATTATCAGCGCTATCTATAGCAGTTCACCTGACAAAGCTACTGACTTAGTCTATGCATTACTACTTCTACGTGGCTTGCGGAGTGGAAGCTTAACCATGTGACGCCCGTAATAAAAAAAAAAAGATGATGCCACATCGGTATCAAACTAAAGACCTATCGGTGTCCTGTCTATCATACCCAAGATCTTAGGCTTGACCAGCTTTTCGACGCTTTTCAACCCTTCCAACATGTTTTGGATTTCTTCGAAGAAATTCATGCTGCACAGCTCTGGTCAAAGTGGTCGATGACTGGTCTCAGTGGCTCTAGATTCCAAAAAGGTTACTGGCTCCATTGCAATTGACTTATCCAAAGCTTTTGATTCCATATGTCAAAATTTTCTTGCAGAGTTACGTGCTTATGGCGTTGGTGAGGGGGCAATTGACTTTTTTGCATTTAAACTTGTCTGGTCGAAAGCAAAGAGTTAAGTTAACGGAGGTTTCTCAGATTGGTTACCGGTGTACTGTGCAGTGTGTCTCAAGGCAGCCTCCTGGGGCCCCTTCTGATTAATGTATTTATCAACGATATTTTTCTGCTCAACTTTCTTCCCTGCGGCTCTACGCCGATGACACTACCCCCTATGCATCCAATACCAACATTTCAGCTTTGGAACTGTCTCTTAAGAAAGATCTTGAGAATCTTTCTTCCTGGTTTACCTCAAATTACTTGTCCGTCAATGGAAAGAAAACCCAAGTGATGATCTTGGGTAAGCACTCTGGATATGGCTTCCTGAATATTCTTGGAGTTCATATCAACCATAAGTTGTCCTTTTTAGACCACCTGTCAACCTGTTAAAGAAGGTCTACTCCAAGGTTGGAGCTCTGAGACGAATTAGAAAGCTGGTGCCTGCTGACATCTAACTTATGCTGTACAAGGCGGAATGTATACTTCCACACTTTGAATATTGTAGTCCATTACTATTAGGGATTAACAAAACGCTGGACCAGAAACTTCAATCTGTAAACTATTATGTTAAACAGCTTAGATTGTGATTCCATACTTTCTGCTGTAAACATGCAATCACTGGAACATAGACGGTACTTAATCAATCTTTTAAGCCTGGTTTCCATATGATTGCTTCGATCGCTGTGATCGCTGCGATCTCTGAGACAAAAAGAGTTCAGCGATCGCAGCGACAGGACCGATCATATGGAAACCACATTCCAGCGATCTTAGCGATCGCAGCGACAACGATCACTGAGATAGAAAGAAATTATCTCAGCGATCGTGTTCCATATCATAACTATGATCGCTGCCATCGCTGAACTTTTTTTTCCCTCAGGGATCGCAGCGATCGTATAGAAACCGGGCTTTATCCTCCTTTTTAAATGTCTAAAGGAAACGGGCCTGACTGTATTTCTAATGTATTCGAACCTCGTCTATTGCGTTACAATTTAAGGAACGGTGAACACAATCTCTCGCAACAATCCTATAATAATCGATTTTATCTCACTTACAAGGCTTCGCATTTGTGGAATCAGCTTCCTTCTTACATTAAGAAATGGGCTGAGTTGAGTGAATTTCATAAGAATTTGAGACCTTTTAACATTATAAACTTAAGGGACAGTTGTAAATGTAATTTTTGTAAGTTCTGTTTTTACGATATCTTAGAATTATTTTTAACTTTTTTTTTTCTTGGGGTATTTAACTCATTCTCAGGGTTTTTATATAATTAGTTTCTAATTAATTCAGTGAGATACGGGAGGGTGTTACTTTGAGTATTTCTAACATAACATTCTCGGATATATTAATTTTTATTCGTTTTTATACATTTATGATCTTTTTAGACTACTTTTACTGAAATGGTTTACTATCATTAACTATTTTTATCTCCGTCATACATCTACGTTTCATTCATGAGCGTCCAGCTCGGATGATCGGGGCAACCCCATCCCACGTATTGACAGAAATAAATTGATTGATTGATTTATTGGTCGCCATTTCAATGTTTTGTAACACCAATATGGCCGCCGTGACGTCATGTGAAAACGCTTTATAAGAAAGTCTACCCAAAAAATGGAAACAAACAAAGTTCATTTCAAATTTGTTTCGCAGATAAAAGACGACGAAAACGCACATCATAATTATGCAATATCAAAGCCTCTGCGTAGTACTGATATTATTTCAATTGCGCAGCCATTGTCTGACGACATTAAGGTTTTTTTTTCCTATTCAGATGTTGAATGGAAGAAACGAAGTTTACTTTTACATGGAATTTACTTAAGTGTCATTTCTTTGCTTGTGGCACTTAATATATTACTGGTCGTTCGGAGATGGAGAAAACCGGTACCCAATGTTAAAGGTAACTGACACAATTTCTTTTCAGCAAAATAGTGAGTCATCTACAACGGATTTTTATAATTATTCGTTGAAGATTTTCTAGGCGGGTGAATTAAATGCAAGTATATAATTACTATCTTTCTGAAAGACCCTTTTTTCTGTCTCTATATTTCAATTTGCAATTAATACACAAGTCAAGTTCGTTGCACTGTCATCAACGTACAGACAATTTACAACACATTACGGATTTTTTTTTTTTAACAGGTCTTGCTAAAGTAACAAGGTAGGTAATAACTTGAAGTGCATATTTTTACAAGTATTATCATTGCAAACGTTAACATACTTCGTTTACGATCGTCTATAAAATGTATCTTATCTGGCAACATGAGTAATTGAAATTGAAGGAATGATCCTGTCATTTAACACAGATGATGTTTTTCTTTACTTTTAGGCTTCCCAAAACAAACATTTTTGACACGTTTTCTTCTTGCACGTAGCTTCATTTTTTTCCCATAAAATATCAAAATATTTGATTTGTGTTTCTTTTTAGTTTCAGCAGGCGAGAAGAAACCTATCAGGACTTGGAGGTACACTTATAAGCCATGGAAACTGTCTTTTAAAAACATGTCACGCAAAGAAACAAAATATATTCGAGATTACGAGATACAAAAAGATTTGAAAAATCTGATTTTGCGATGTAAATGAGTTAAATTTTTTTTTTCAAAACTACACAAGATTTGTCAGCAATCAAACCTTTGTCTACATTCGTCTTTTTATTTTTTCTGAGTTTTCTTCGGTGAAGATCAGTCATACAGTATAACCATTCTTAACGCCTTCAATAGCCATTTGCATGATGGCGTCATTTTACTACTACGACCAGAATCCTTCGGGTTTATGCTTTCTTGCGCAAATTGGCGCCTTTGCTATTTAAACCTTGCTGGGATTACCAAATTAGTAGAATTACGCTATCGTGCAAATGACCTATTCAGCCGAGTGGGCATGCAATATTAATTCTATATGTAGTAATTGATATAAGTTAGGGAATGACTTTATAATTATTTGTTACAGAACTCTTATTAACCCCCCCGACGTACATGCAAATTTATACCCCTACCGTGGTACAAGAGGGGTGGATGGAACCCCTCCCCGGAGTTTTTGATATGTAGCAGTACTTCGAAACGATTTTACCTTCAGCGGAAAGCCTTTGATCTTCTCTACGCGATGAGGTATATTTTATGGGTTGTGGCGTTACCGGGGGCCTGTGACGTCACCAATAATGGTCGCTTTCTTGGCCGCCATCTTGGATTTTACCAAGAATTCGAAATCAGGTTAAAACCGTGAGAAATGGTGATTTTTTTGTGCTTGAGATAAAAAATAACACAAATTAGCACTAAGCATGATTTTAGCCACAAGATTTACTGTTATTGTTGACAAAAGTTAAAAAAGACGTACTTTCACTCAAAAATGACTTGACCACCTCCTACTTATGACGTTATATCTCGTAACCATAGAAACTGACCAACACTGAAATTAACTCAAAAACCTTTGGGGGGGGGGGAGTGGCATCCACCCTCCCCCCTTGTACGCCCGAGGCTTAAAGAGAACAGAAGTAATTGATTATAGCCTTAGATAAAAGCAGATGAAGAAAGAGGACAAATAATGCTTTTAATTATTTCGTAACAGAGTCAAGGAACGCCACTCGCAGAGGATATTACTTATATTAATACACAAGCTGGGGTGGAGTTACATACACAGTTACCTTCGTCGCATTCTGAGCAGCAGTTGTATGATGCCTGCAGCTACACACCACCAAATCCAGAAAGAAATAGTTGGGAAGTGAGACGAAGAGACGTCACCATAGTTAAAGTCATTGGGAAGGGAGCATTCTGTCAGGTTGCAAAAGCGGAGGCGTGGAATTTAAATGGATCGAAGGGTGTCACTGCCGTAGCTGCAAAAATGCTCAAAGGTGAATAGTTTACGGGTATAACTCCTCTTTCTTTTCAAAGAACGAAAAAATGGATTTGCACCAAATTTTTTCAACGCAAATACGATGCTAATTTGTGCAAACTGAGGAATAAATCTGAACAAAGGTGGTTAATGCTAGATTTGCATACATGTACCTATTTACACCTATTTACCTCAGTTTGCACAAATTAGCATCGTATATTTGCGCTGAGCAAATTTGGTGTAAATCCATTTTTTCGTCCAGTTTAAGAAGAGTTTGTCTTCGCAGAGCTACATGAGAGTCGTTTTCTGTTTTTCTCTAGGAAAAGCACCAGATTCAGACAGAAAAGATCTAATGTCAGAACTGGAATTGATGAAAAAACTTAAACCTCACCCTCACGTAATCAAACTTATGGGATGCGTCACTGAGACAGGTAATATCCATTCAAAAAGTAACAAGTGAATTTTAACAAGTGAACATACGCCAAGATCAGCTTATTACATGTAACTAAACCATCCTTGCAGATCCCTTACTTGTGCTAATTGAATACATTCCATACGGTGATTTGTTGGGGTTTTTGAGGAAGAGTCGGGGCCTCAAGGACAATTACTATAAGAACCCGGATATTAAACCAAAGACAACTCTGACGTCGCAGCAATTGATTCAGTTTGCTTGGCAGATCGCTGATGGTATGGAATTCCTTTCTTCTAACAAGGTAAGGGCAAAGAGTGAAAGATTTATAGTGATTTTGTATAGCATCACTTATAGACATTCACCATTGAGTCGGAATTGCCCTTGGCTAGTAGTTATATTCCCATCTCCCAAGAAGAGTTTTTCTTTCTTTCTGCTTGTTTTCCTCCGTTTTCTTCTTCTTTCACATTATTTACTTTGGTATGTATCGTTTCGTATGCAAGGTCATCCATCGTGACTTGGCAGCAAGAAATGTTTTGGTTGGTGAAGGAGAGAAGTGTAAGGTGACAGATTTTGGGATGGCGAGGGATGTATATGGAGATGACATTTACAAAAAGAAAAGTCGGGTGAGTAATAAAAACCCACTTCTTTATCTTATTTGTTGTGTGTTTTTTAATAGCCAAGTACATTGTGGAAGAAAATTTTCGATAAATCCAAAAATAGTTTGTAACTTATACTTCAAAAAGAACTATAAAAGGCTTTGGTTGAACCATTTTAATTTGTTATTTTGGTATACAAAAATAGTTTAGATAATTTTAGAATTTAGTCTGTCTCAAACGAAACTGAAAATTGGAAAGTAAAGGGTAGTGTAAAAAATAATACACAATGTTCTAATGAATAATAGTTTGTGAATAAGGAAATGACATTAACGTTAATAAAAATAAAGTTATATTGAAAAAATATAAATCGCAAGTTCTCTATAATTTATTTACCTTTAGACAAACAGTTACCCTGTGGGCAGTGATCCCTCCTTGCCAAATGCTGCAAGAGAGAAAAGCGAGCGATCATTTGGTTCTTTGATCGAGCCGCCGTCCAGCCGCATGGACGAATAAATTAACTTTGTCAAGTTCATGCAACTCTGCAAGCTTCGATTTACTCTACCGGTTTCGTTCGATCCTCTATAATTTGTCACTGAGAAGGAATATTTAACAACAAACTTGCCAACTTGAAACGGCGATTTTTTTTCCTGCACGTGCCTGACAAGTATGCCGAGCAGGCATAAACAGCTACGGAGACGATTTCGTCCAACAAATTTTGATGACTTTTATCGCTACGTATTACTATTAACAGGAAATCGTTCTGTCTGCTTCCAGTTTTGAGTGCTCACCTGCACGAGCCAGACAGGTACGGCGAACAGCTGAGTTTGCTGGTAAACTACCTTGTATAACAAAGTCACGAAAGCAGCGCTATGGATGCTGGCCTCCGATTGGGCACAAAAAATACTTTTTGTGCCCAGTCAGAGACAAGCATTCGAATGAGTCGTGGAACTGGTTTGTTAAGAGTAGCATCCCAGGGTTTCTCTCAGCCGCTCTTGAAAACTTTGGCCACCGTTTATCCCGACCCGACTGACCGCCACTGCTTGCAGAGTTACCAACAGCTAGGAACAAATAAAAGACAGAACTAAACGAAAAATAAACAAAACAAAACAAAACAAAAACAAATAAACAATATTCGTAACTACGAATTGGCAAACAAAACACTATGGTCAATTACACAAACAGTTAGGCACACTCGGGAGAATGTTGAAATTATCCATGTAAATGAACTCTTTAGGGTCGTCTTCCAGTTAAGTGGACTGCTTACGAGGCATTACTTTATGGGACATATACTACGCAAAGTGACGTGTAAGTATTAAAATTTATGGTGCGATAAGTTTTTACACCTCTAATTATTAACGATAGCATTGTTAGTGACGGCCACGAATAACGTTGTAATTCGCCTTGTCATTTGGTAGGCGATTCTAATAATCTTTAATCTCAAATATTGTATAATACATTTCCTTAGCAATGATTTAGTCTCAACGGCGCTGATGGTCAACGATCTTTAATAATAATATGCAAAAGATAAAGTACTACAGATGTTTATTTAAAAAAGTCCTAACAAAAAATAAGTACTTTGGAAGTTACGAGAACTCGTTACTACTTGTTACACCCGAGCAGCCTTACCCACTGGTGATTTTGCTGAAATCCATTTTCAATACATAAACTACTAAAAGACGCGACTTAGCTAAGACACGTCTTATTCTAGAACAGCCCTTAACACCTGTTCTTAAGGTACGTAAAAACGGGAAACAAAAAACGCGCAACTTGTTTTGCAACATTGCTGCCAAAAGAGTTGAATAGCGATGTTACGCGTTTTCCCACCGACATCAAACCTGTCTTCCAACAAATCAGGCTGTTAACAGGTTTAAACATGAGTGGTAAAACGCGCAGCATCGCTATTCAACTCGTTTTGCAGCAATGTTTTTCCGTACCTTTAGATAAGACGCGTCTTAGCTAAGACGAAAAAAACTTCTTTTAAATGACCTTTGCGTCTTACATAANCAACAAATCAGGCTGTTAACAGGTTTAAACATGAGTGGTAAAACGCGCAGCATCGCTATTCAACTCGTTTTGCAGCAATGTTTTTCCGTACCTTTAGATAAGACGCGTCTTAGCTAAGACGAAAAAAACTTCTTTTAAATGACCTTTGCGTCTTACATAAGACGCAAACGCATAGTACGCAGGCGTTAATTTTTGGCGGGAAAATTTACGCTTGCCCCGCGGTCGACTGGCAGGCTACTGGCTGGGAAAAGCTGTTTATAAATTACAACGCGTTTTCTTTTCCTTGGTGATAATAATGATCGCCTTTTTCCCGAGAAATATACAGTGAAAGGCCATATTACTAATACTAAACTAGAAAAAGGCGATCATTATTACACCCAAACACGGCACAAGCATCTTTTTTTTCCCATTACAATCTTATTCTAAGAAAAATTTAAGAAAAAATGTCCAGAAAAGCGCTCGAAAATACAAACGAAATGTGCTCATGCCCCCTCGGCATCCTATAATATTCCTTAAATCGAATTTATTCAATATGGCGGCCGTATCGGTAAAAAGGTCTATTATATATATATACATAACAATGCATTACATTATATTACATGTACATTAATATATCATATTTATATTACAGGTGGAGTTTTGGTGTTGTTCTGTACGAAATATTCACTGTGGGTATGTATGCTTTTCGCATAACTGTTTAAAGACAAGTTGCGAGCTAAAGATAATACTGCATGCGACCGAGATGAATCAAAAGTCTTCTATAAATCGTTCATTGTATCTTCTATGCTTGTTATGTTGTGAAAATGATGATTATGTTATGTTTTAAGCATTTCTTTTGCATAAATACAGTAAAATTACTACCCTGCGAGTAGAGGCTACATTTTCGCTGTGTTAGCTGGCGTGCGAAAAGTATCCTCTGCCGACACCCGTTCAAATCCGTCCAGAAATCTGGACGAATAAATTAAAAACCGGTTTTTTTCCTGTTCTTGACCGGTTTAGAGCATTGCGTGAGTCTTGCGTGAATCTTACGTAGCAGATGAGAGTTAACGCAATTTTTTTATTCCCGCGAAACTCGCGCCATTTGACGACAGACCTGACGATTAATTTTGGTTGCGAATCGCGTGACGAATTTCACGCATGCACGATAGAAAATTGAACGGTTGTCAGCAGAGGCTACTTTTCGCACCCCAGCTCCTATAGCGAAAGTGTAGCCTCTGCTCGCAGGGTATAAAATTACAGGATTACAGGATTAAAAAATAATTAATCACAATTTGATAAATTGTGGAGCTCATTTTCCTGCAACGTCGTTGCCGTTTGCGTTTTGCAGGTGGATGTCCGTATCCTGGCATAGAGGGACAAGAAATTGCAAACAAACTGAAAAATGGCTACAGGATGCCAAAACCTAAACATATTGACCAGAACCTGTAAGTACTTTTCTACTGGTGCAAAGATAATTTCTTTTGCAAGCTGTTTATATCGAATTTTATGGAGAATTTGTTTACTTTATGCCTTCAGTGCTTTCGGTGGAACCTAAGATTTGTCTGTTATCTATAAATCTTTCTTAATCTTACCTTTTTTACATTCAAGGTCATTCCTTTATTCATGTTTAGACTTTCGTTATACGTTTTCTCCATAAAGGAGAAGAAGTCTTAAATATTGATAAATTGTTCTTGAATAGTATGTCTGATATATTAACTATGGATTTTTTTCAGTTCATTTTGATGGGACTCAATTTAATAACAATTATATGTAATCACTGTTTGATTATATCCTATTCTATTCTATCTTTTCTTCTCTGGTAGTTATGATCTTATGCTTCAATGCTGGCAACAAAAGCCCAATGAGCGACCAACATTTTCTGTACTAAAGGATACTATGGCAGACATGTTGCAGAATAATAACGTATGTGTAATTAAAAACTTTTCTGCTCTTTTCAACAACGACAAAAGCATTAATTAAAGAAAGAAAACAAAACAGACCCCAAAACTTCCTTTGACAGTGATGGCACAACAGTTACCCTTTCTCTTGACCTCTCTAAACAATGCAAGCTTTGTTTTCAAAAAACAAAATATAACACCATTATGTTAAAGAAGCTTCGTCGTCTCTTTTAAGAGATTAAGGCCCCGTCCACACGTATTCGTATATTTTTGAAAACGAAGATTTTCCCCTCGTTTTTCAAAACAATACGCGTCTATATGTAAGCGTATTCGAATCGTTTTTGCCCGTCCAAATACGATAGCATACCTTTCAGACCATGCTTAATGCTAGTAGTATGTGAAGGATGGTATTTTCGAATTCAAAAACCTCCGTTTTCGTCCGTCCACACGTGAAACAGAAGGCAAGGTTTTCAGAAATCTATTTTCTAGAGAGCGTTTTTGAAAAGATGCGTTTTCGGTGACCGTTTTAGCCTGATACATGCGGATGGTAGGCCAACTGACCGGGGAATTTTTTTTTTTCTATAAAAAGAGATTCGTGTGAACGAGGCCTAAATCTTGCACACTGTCAATCTTCCTAAGATGAAATTAACAGGACTTGAAAAAAGAAAATAACAGAGAGTTGTTGCTCGATTTTTACGCACTGTGCGGCATAAGATTAAGAGTTCTGAAATTTAATTGTACACTGTAGAAACAAAAAACTTTTCCGCCACGATCGTTATATTTTACAAGTAACGTTATCTACTAAGCTACAGTCATAAAATATCAGATTAACATTTCAATGACGGACACGATTTCAAGACAAGATTATTAAAGACTAAAACCCTCTCTTTAAAAGCAATAAACACTTACGTGACAAACTACTGTATTTTGAATGCTCATCTGACTGAGAAAACAACTATTGTAACTGCGACATAAAATTGCGTGTCATGGACCTAACAAACCCATCGAAAAGAAGAAAAAAGACCCTTCCCAGTGACGTGTAGTATTGGTCCCCCTGAAAAAATCTGCATCGTTACTTCCGGTATTGTTTTCCTCCTAAACAAACAAAACCTCATTGCTAAGTGTAGTATTTCTGAATGTTTAGTTCTAGCACTAGCCGCCCTATGTTTGTACATTAAGTAACAGAGCATGCACACTGGTTGTAAATGATTAAAATGTGGCCCGAATAATGTTTGTGGTTAAATCCTGAATCGTCCGTTAGTTATCGATAGTTAAATCCAGCGATCCATAAACACATTAGGACCGTCACTTCCACAATTTTTTTTTGCATTCAACCAAAATGAACCTCTCTAACAGTCCTCTAATTTGAAATTTGGCATTCAAAACAGAAATCTCTAAGCGCTGAAAAAAAAAATTGTATGATGACCTCTTTTTTGCGTAAAACTCCAGTAATAACTTATTAACAATTATTCCTCGAGCCCGAATGGACTCTGAGTTAATAGCCGAATGGGCTATTGACTCAAAGGCCATGAGGGCGAGAGGAATAATTGTTTTAGTAAAATCCAACTAGTTAGTCGAAAATATCGAGAATGAAAATCTTTTAGCTAGTTAAAGCTAGACTTTAATCCTTTTTTGCCGCCAAAAAGCCCGCGCTTTTCGCTACTAGTGGGCTATAACATATAGCGTAGTAGTA